ATGCCACTCCCCTGATGAATATCCCCTTCCCCAACCACTGCGCCCCCATCCATATCCCCTCCCCTGATCACTGTCGGTTGATCCCCCCAGATCAATACCTGCCCCATCCCCTCCTCCGTCTCCCCATCAGTCCCTCAGTCCTGAGCCGTCTGTCTGTTGCTCTGGCCCCCGAGTGGGCTCCGTGGGCTCTGACGCCCCCGCCCTCCCCTGCATGATGGGGTCCCCTCAGCGGAACACTTTACACCCACACTTTCTGCCCAGGAGCCCATCACACATGTCCAGCAGATGAGTAAATGGGGGGCCGGAGGGGTTAAGCCACATGCCCAGAGCCACCCAGGGCCCCAGCCAGCCAGGGGGCCGCCAGAGCCCGGACCCACCCCTGGCACCGTACTGCCTCGGTCTCCCCGTCAGCCGAAGGGGGTGTGGAGCTGAGGGTGCCCCCCGTCACTGGGCTGGAGCCGGGAGGGAGGGAGGGAGGGCCGGGGAGCTGGCCACTGCGGGGAGGGTCACGCCCCGAGTCTGTCTGGTTGCCAACGGAAACCAGACATGAGGTAATGGCCAAGATGAACTTGAACTTGGCTGGAGGTGGGGGGCTGGGAGCCACGGCGCCAGGTCGATGGGATGGCCCAGCGGCTGGCTGCAGGGCGGCCTGGCGGGAGGGGGCATGATCAATGTACAGTAGCAGAGGAGGGGGCTCAGGACTCGCCGACCTCTGTGGGGCGGGGGATCCCCGGGCCTGGGACACGCGGGCGATTGGGTGCACTTCCAGGGGAGGGGTCTGCACGGTGGCTTCCCTGTGGAGACCTGTGACGGCCTGGTCTCCCCCACAGAGCCTAGGTCCCCCATGACCCCCTCGGGGCTCAGGGGTCAGCCCCGGGCAGGGGAAAGGCGAGGCCCAGAACCACACGAGCCTGAGTTCAAATTTCAGCATTGCCACTCCTGCACTGGTGGACTTGGGCAAGTTACTTGACTTCTCTGAGCCCCAATTTTATTCACTGCGAAATGGCGTGTTGGGGGCAGAGTCCCTCCTTCATGGGGGTTCTGGAGGGGGGTTCATTAAATGGGAAAATGTTTTTAAAAAAAAAGGAAACAGCCCTGGTCACAGTGCCTGGATGTGCTGGCACTCCATAATGATTCACTCATTTCCCTCTGCGTCCCCTCCTGCAGTCATACCCGGGGCAGTGAGGCTCAGAGCTTCAGCGAACAAAACTACAGGAGGCTCAGCTAGACTTGAATTCCAGATAAACAAAGAATTTTAGAAGACGAAAAAAATTTTTTTAGCATAAGTGTATCCCACAAGGTGCATGGGGTATACTTATGCTAAAAGGTTTATCCACGATTTAGATTCCACTGGGCGTCTGATTTTTCATCTGGCAGGCTGCTTGGGCCCAAGTCACTTGCCCAGGGACACCGAGCAGGTTGTGACAGGTCTGGGGTGGGGAGGCAGGGGTCACAGGTCACAGGGAGGTGGGTGGGCCTGGGCAGCAGGAGCGAGGTCAGTGGCCCAGCCTGACCCGGTGTCTCTTTCTCTCCCTTCTCTCCCTCCGTGTGTCCCGCCGACCGCCCAGTCCTGGTATCTGGGATAGGAAAGGTTTCTTCGCACGCCCTGCTCCTTCGTCCCCGGGGCCCCTGGGCCACGTTTTCCGTGGAAAGTTAGAGCGAGCAAGAACACCCCCGACTCCCAGCCCGGCAGAACAGATAAAACACACAGACACAGAACACAGGAGGATAAAAAGAGGAAAAAAAAGGCAAAAAAAAAAAAAGACCAACGGGGAAAAAAAAAAGTATAAAAATAAACCCACCCAACCAAGACGACAAGAGGTAAAGATGGCAACAACGCTTCAGACTCTCGGGACGCCACGGCCGGACCCGGACCGGAGGGCCAGGCCCCGCCACCCCTCGGAGGACCACGGGCGCCTCCCTAAGTTATTCATCTCCTCTCGCGGCTGCTGCTGCTCCGGACACGGGCACCCGCTCCCACCTCCGCCCAGGACCAGGTGAGCGACGGGGCAGGACACCCAGCGAGGCTGCCGTCCCCGTGCCCCCACCGCCACCGCCGGGACAGCGCCCATGATGGGGTTTGCCAAGCGGGGAGGCGGGCGCCAGGGGGCCAGCGAGGACCCCAGCAGAGGCCGCCCCAGAGGCGGGGTGGGCAGGTGGGAAAGCCACAAGGGCAGAAGAGGGCTGTGGGGAGACCCAGGGCGTCGCCGGGGACGCAACACGTGGCAGATACCTTCACGTCGTGGGACTTGCGCCTACCCCAAGCGTGCGCTCGCCGGGTCGCTCGGGGACATGCGTTCGGGCCCCGGGCCGGCCCGTTTGGGAGGAGAAGTCTATGCAATTGACCCCCAGCCCCCCACCCCCCACGGCAGAGGAGGCCACCCCCCCGCACCCCGCCCCGCCGGCTCCCACCCCCAGGGGAGGGACCCACATTGCACACACTGTAAGAAATGCACTTTCCGAGGAAGGGGCTGGGGGCGTCCGCAGACCCGGAGCTCCCGGAGAGGGGGCACCATCCGGGGTCTCCATCGCCCGAGCCCTGGGAGGGAGGACCCCCGCCTCAGCCCCGGAGGTGGGGGGTAGAGCGAGTGGTTTAAGTGCCTGATCCCCACCGCCCGCCCCCTTGGTCCAGCCGGGACGCGAGTGGGCATCCTCCACCCCTCCCCGCAGCCCGGCCACCTTCAGTCGCTCCCCCTCATTGCTGTGCCCCCCTCAGAGCTAGAGATGGGACCCCGCCCCCTGTGGGCCCACGGGGCGGAACTGGGGTCCCCCGAGCGTCCTGCCGTGCTGGGGTGCGGGGTGGGACCTGGGGACGCCGGCGTGCCCCCCATATGCCTCCTCTGCCAGTGCCTTACATCCTGGAGCGACACCCCTCCCCCGTGCCTCCCAGCCCGAAGGGGGGCCACGGTTTGCACTTTTCTCTCCCCCCCGAAGCGGGGCGCAGCCGGGAGAGAAGGCCGGCTGGGTGCAGTCCACACGAGCCCAGACGGGGTGGGGGTCCTGGCTGGGAGTCGTCGGCGCCTCGGGGGGGCCCCCGCGGCCGCGTCGGGGACCTCTCATCTGCTAAGCATTTTCCGTTGAGCCGCTCCAAAAACACTAAGCCAGGGACACCGGGGGCCCCCACCCCGGCTCCCCGGCCCCATCCCCACCCCACCCCCGGATGGCCATCTTGGGTGGGGGGGCTTGGGAGGGGGTATCCGGTGTTCTAGGGTCACCAGGCCCGAACTCGGGGACCCCTCCTGGCCCATCCTTCTGAGCCCCCCGACCTCCTCCATGCCTGGCGCTGGGGAATAGTTCCCCCTACTACACCCCCCACGCCGGGGCCTGGGCCAAAGCCATTGCCCTGGGCAGGGCCCCCGCCTCATCTGCCCCCGCCTGGCCCTCCTCTCCCAGTCCCGGGACCCCGGGCCCGGCCAGCCTCCTCTCACCTCCCCAGAAACCGGACTTTCCTCCCAAACCAGCCCGAGGGGCTCGCGAACCCACTCGATCAGAGAGAAAGACCCAGGACCCTTCCCCCCCGCGCCCCTCCCGTCCTCCCCGAGGCTCCGGGAACCCTGGGTCCGTCCGTCTGTCCCCAGGGCCCCGCCACCGGTGGCCGCTGGGGACCAAAGCATGGGCCGCTCTCCGGGAGGCCAGGAGGGGTGTCCAGAAGCTTCCCCGCCGGGAACCTGAGGGTGCGGGGAGGCTGGGGGGAGGGGGCGCCTGGCAGCCCCCCGCTACCTACGTGCATGGTGCTTTAGTCGAGGATTCCTGACCTAGCTCCTGAAGTCGGCCCGCGGCCGACACTGCATGGCAAACGATACCTGGCTCTACGTCCCCCCCCCCAGCCCCCCACCACTCCCCCCTCCTCTTTAAACAAAAAGATACAAAAAAAAACCTTAAAAAAAATTCCATGTTTCCTAATTTGCACGAAAATTTCTACCACATGATGTGCCTTGCCTTCCGATAATAAGTATTATTACCTTTAAACAATATCAGCGCACAGAGATAGCTGCATGCCCTGCTCGTGTAGTCAAAAAAAAAAAAAGACAAAACAATGACATGAAATAAAAAGTAAAAATTGAAAAGGGATGTATTTCTATTTGTAAAAAAACAAAAAACAAAAAATAAGGATTTAAAAAGAAAATCACGCTAAAAAAGCGACCCACAGAACAGTGGCCCCGTGGTCCGCCCCGCCCCACGCCGCCCCCGGCTTCCCGGCTCCTGCTGCAGCCGTGGGGGTGCGCCCTGGTGCTCCCCCACCCCCGGGCTCCAGAGGGGTCGTTTCTGAATCCCCCCGCCCACGGCAGCGGACAGACCTCAGGGGTGTGCCCTGGCCCCGGGCCACCGCCCAGCCCCCAGACGCCACGCATGCACGACCCCGGGCGGGCCCCCGTGGGGTGGCCGCCTGCCCACAGCCAGACCCCCCATCCCACCTCTCATGCAGGCTGGCGTCCCCCCGGCTCAGGGTCAAATTGCTGTCCCCCCCATCCCCAAAGACGCCCCCTCTTCCCCCCTGTGCATCTCCCTCCTTCTTGCCAAAAGACCCACTTGCCCCCATCCTCCCCAGAGACCGGCCGCGGGTGGCCGTCCCCTCCTGCCCACTCTGCCTCCAGCCAACGCCCATTTCTGCGTCTTCCAGCTGTGACTACGGAGGGTATCTGGTCTGAAACGAAAAAACAAAACCAAACCCGATATATGCAATATCCGTCTGTCTGTCTGTCCCTGTAGGTCTAGGCCAGCCGTCGGGGGCCCCGCCCGGGGGGACACCGCGTCACAGGCCTGGGTCCGCGTGGCTGGCCGTGCCGTTGTCTTTTTCTCCATTTTATTTTTTTCTTATTTTCCTATCTTTATCTTTCTTTCTTTTTGTTAATTCTTTTTCTTTGCCTGGAAGACTCGACCAAAGTAGCAGACGGGCGGCGGGGTGTCCGGCGGGGAGGACCAAAGGGCTGGGTTCCCCAACCTCCGGCCCCCACCTGGGCCCCTCGAGCACCTCCTGTGGGGACACCCCAGGCGGACGGTCCCCATCCATTCGCCCCCCGAAGTCAGACTTCAGAATTGCCCCAGAGCAGGTGGGCCTCGCAGAAGGTCCCGGCCTCTCTGCCATCCTAACGCCCATCCAGTGTTTTCTTCCAAAAAGACCCCGCAGTGAGCCCCTGGGGACAGGGAGAGCCCAGACTGCGCCTCGGCCCGTAAGACCTGACCCCCCGGCCTGGCAGCCAGGGCCACGCGGGGCGCTTGTCAAGTGGCCGTTTTCTGGGTCTTATTCCCCGCCCCCTCCCGGGGAAGTGGGGAGCCGCCAGTGGCGAGGAAATTTCTCCCCGGACCCCTCCCCGAGGGCTTTGTGGGGACCGTCGTGTCCCTCACGGCCCGCCCCCACAGCACCCCCTCCCTGGCCCCTTCGGCCCCACGCTGAGTGCAGTCATGAGCCCTTCCCAGGAAGCGTGTTATCTTGGGGCTGTGTGTTCCCATTTCTCGGAAGAGCTCCAGGGTCCCCGCAGGCAGAATAAGGCAGATAGACCCCTGACCCTCTGCTGTTCGGGCTTGTGACCCGAGTGGGGAGGGGACAGGGCGTTGGGTCGTTTTCTTTTCTCATGTATGAAACTGACATCTTCGCAAACCCCATCCCCTCCATGCGCCCACCGTCTGTCCCCACCCTCGCGAAGCCCCCCAGCCTGCCCCCCGGGGTCCAGCCATGCTGTGGAAAGAATAGGGAGACCCCCACATACATGCAGATGGCCCCCGTCCCTCTCCTGGATGAGGGCACTGGGCCAGGACGGAGGGGGAGGTGTGGAGGGGTCCCCCGTGCCCCGCTCTGGAACCCTGGTCCTGGCCCAGTTCTGAGCCCAGAGCTCCACCCGGAGCTAGACAATCAGACCCAAAAGGAACCCCAAAGGAGACCTGAGGGGCTGCTGTAGCTCCCCGAGCAGCAGACAATTTCAGCCTCAGCATCCCCTCCCTGTTCCGGAACCTTCTATCTGTCCCCAGAGGCAGCAGTGTTCCAGGGGCAGGCAGACTGGCCAGTGGGGCCAGGGCCAACCGTCCAGCCCTTCCGGAAGAGACAGCACACAGGACCCCCCCGCCCCCCAACTCCGGCTTCTCCAGCGGTACTGAGGCCTCCAGTGCAGGGCTATACTATACATATATATATATATAATTTTGGAGTTTTTTCTTGTAATACAGATTATACCGTGGCTACTCTTTATTTTGGCCTGGATTCTCTCTCTGAGACTCTCATTTCGACTTTTCTTCCCGGAGGGTGTCGGACGCATCCTCCCGTCCCTCCTCGTTTCTGCCCCAGGCGGACACAGCCTCCCCCAGCCAGCCATCCTTGGGCGTCTCAGGGCATGTGGGGTCCCAGCTGGCCCCCCCACCCCGACCCCTCCCCGGGCCAGGCGGGGAGACAGCCCCAAAGCGACACCAGTGGGACTTGTCGCCAGAGATACCAAAACAGACTTTGCCCGAGCAGTGCCTCGCAAGTCTGCTGGTGTGGCTTTGGGGTCCTCGTCCCCCACTCCCCGGGGGCCCCCGGGCCTCGGGAAAGAGGAGACGGGATCCAGCAGGAAGGGCCCCGGGAGGCAAAGGAAGTCAGGCACCCCCAAGCCACCGCCCCCCCCACAGCCCTCTATCCACACCTGTGGGCCAGAAGGGGACCACCGCACGGGACGGGAGCTGCCCCGGCCCCCCTCCTGCCGGGGACCCCCAAAGCCCGCTCTCAGAACGCACCAACACCCCATCTTCCCATCTCGGGTCCCAGCCAGGCCCCCGAAACCAAAGCCCCTTCGAGTCTGGGGGTCCCCCAGCTGCCCGCCCTCCCACCCCCAGGACCCCTCGGGGGGGATGGACGAGCAGAGAATCCAAGGCACAGGACACGGCCTGGGGGCCGCGGGGAGAAGGGAGAGACCCGTTTTCCTCTCTGGATTTCCTCTTTCTTTCCTTTGTTTTTTGTTTTTTTTTTCTTTCTTTCCTTCCTGTTTCCTTTACTTTTTCTTCCTTCCTTCTTTTCCTCTTGCTTCATTTTCCTTTCTTTCTCTCTCTCTTTCTTTCTTTCCTTTCCTTTTCTTTCTTTTTCTCTCTCAGATTTTTTGGTGGTGTTGCTGTTGCTTTTCTTTTCCCTCCGAGATATTTTTTGAGGTTTTTTTTTTTTTTTTTCCCATTTTGTATTTTACTGATATTACCAGGATAGTTTACTCTTGTTTCTAGCTTTCCGCTTGCCGCACACACCGGATCTCACACACACACACACACACACACACACACACACCCCATCCTCACAACCCAAGTCGGGAGACGGTGCGGGCCGGGTCTGCCGCCCCCCTCCTCCCCCTCCTCCTCCCCCCCTGGGGGGGGATGGGGTGGGGGACAAGGGGACAGCGGGGCAGACCCGGGCCCGGCCTCCCCCACCCCGCCCGGCTCCCCGCCCTGTGCCCCCACATCGTACTCCGATCATAACCTTGTATATTACGCAGTCATTTCGGTTTTCGCCGACGCGCCTACCTAAGTACCATTTACGGAAAGTGACTCTGGCTGTTATTATTTTGTTTGTTTGTTTCCCTATGCAAAAAAAAAAAAGAAAATGAAAAAAAAAAGGGGGGTTCCATAAAAGATTCAATAAAAGGCAAAAAAAAGAAAAAAGAAAAAAATGTATAAAAATTAAACAAACTATGCTTCGACTCTTTCTGGCTGTCTTGGGTCCTTTCTGTGTTTCGGGGGCTGTTTGGTTTGGGGTCCCCGCAGGGGGCAATGGCCCTGGTGGCTCTAGTCCTCTCCCCTCGTCCCCCCAGGATGGGCCATTTCACACCCCCGAGCCTTTGCTTCTGCCCTTCCTTCTGCTCATGGCCGTCTCCCCCATCTGTGCGGACCCTGCAGGTCCCACAGCAACATCCTCCTCCTCCAGGAAGCCTTCCCCCCTCCCCCCAGCCTGGCCCCTCCCCGCCCGGGGTCGGAACTCCCCAGGGTCTTCCATCAGCAAATTCCACGGGCACCTAGGGAGCACCCACTCTGTGCCAGACACCGAATTCCGGCTCCAAGGACGGCCTGGCACACAGTCGGTGCTCCATAAATGCACAGAATGCCTTCCCTCTCTCTGTCCATCTGGCAAACTCCCATTCACTCAGCAAAGATTTCCTGAGCATCTGGGGACACAGCAGGGAACCAAACGCCCCAAATGACCTGCCTTCCTGGCACGTCCAGTTCCAAGTCGGGAAGACAGACGGAAACAATAAAAATAAGTGAAATATCTGTCAGAGGAGGGAAGTGCCAGAAAGACAAATAAAGCAAAGTGGGGGATAGGAGAGTGGGCCTCACATGAGGAGGTAACGTTTAAACAGAGTCTTGAACAGAGGGAGACAAATAGCCCCCTGAAAATCTGGGAGAAGAACATTCCAGGCTGAGGGCGCAGCAGGTGCAAAGGCCCTGGGGCAGGACCGGGCCTGGCGTGTTGGAGGAACAGCGAGGAGGCCCCTGTGGCTGGAGCAGAGGGAGGATAGGGAGGAGACGGGGCAGGTTGTGCAGGGCCTGGTGGGCCGCGGGGAGGACTTGGGCTTCTCCCCCGAGGGAGGAGGGAGCCCTGGAGGGCTGTGGGCAGAAGAGGGAGGCCCTGACTTGGTCCCAACACCTCTCATCCCCACCTGCCCAGGCAGAGCCCCTGCTCGTCCTCCCAGCCCCCCAGACCCTCAGGAGACCCCAAGATGGGCAAGCAAAGCTCTCTCTGCTGCACAGGCTCCTTCCATCCCACAAGCCCACCCAGGAGGGACGCTTATATTCCTTTTGACTGATGGGGCAAGTGAGGCACAAAGAGGCGACAAGACACACGAGGACCCAGGCACGGCACGCCTACGCTGACACGTCACGGGCACAGGAGACACACTGGTGGGGGGCGGGAGCAAAGGCCCCCCCCACGTCCAACACGTTCCCCTCCCGGCCCCGCCCCCAACAGGGGTGGGCGCGTCTGCGCTCAGCGGCGAGGTTCCGGCGCCCCCTGGTGGGAGGACGGAGGACCTGGACCCAGAAACCGGGTCCCGGACTGGGGAGGGGCGGTCAGGAGGCAGCGCCCACCCACCCGCGCCCCCATCCCCGCGGTCCAGCCCCACCCGCAGCGGGACAGGGGCCACTAGCGGGAGTTTCTTTTACGGGGTGGGGGCTCACTCCGTGGGGGAGGTGCATCTGGGGGTGAGGGGCTCAGTCCGGAGGGGGGGGTGCATCTGGGGGTGGGGGCTCAGTCCGGAGGGGGGGTGCATCTGCGGGTGAGGGGCTCAGTCCAGAGGGGGGTTCATCTGGGGGTGAGGGGCTCAGTCCGGAGGGGGGGTTCATCTGGGGGTGAGGGGCTCAGTCCGGAGGGGGGGTGCATCTGCGGGTGAGGGGCTCAGTCCAGAGGGGGGTTCATCTGGGGGTGAGGGGCTCAGTCCGGAGGGGGGGTTCACCTGGGGGTGAGGGGCTCAGGCGGGGTCGGGGGCAATCTGGCCTTTGATCTCAAGAAAGCCTCAGTGTTTTCCAGAGTCCCTGGGGTGAAGCAATTCTTGGCTTAGCGGGGCTCTCTGCCATCCCTGTCCCCACCTAATGCCATAAAAGGGAGGCAGGCTTGTGACAACCCCTACACCCTGCAGCCTCCCCTAGCGGGGAAGTCCCGCCCCTGCGCAGAGTGGAGTCCAGACAGCCCCTCCCCTCTCCCTGCCCTTCCCCCCAGCACCGCCCCCTACCTGCACCCCCAGACCTTTCGCAGAGGAGACAGGACAGAAGACTCTTCCGCATTCTGCACGCCCAGAGCTGCAGTCTAAACACACCCTCTGACCTTCGGGATCCCCTAAGTCTGAAGGGGGGGCCTCACTCGCCCCGCCCCACCAGCACCATTTCAGCATAACAAAAAAATGACATTTTGTTCAATGCCTTTTGAGTTCTGGGGTCTGCGCTCGGGACTTTTGTAGACATTATTTCATTTAATCCTCGTGACAATTTACGAAGGATCTGTTTATTATCCTCCCCTTTTATAGGACAGGACACTTAGGCACAGAGAGGTTAAGTTACTTGCCTGGGGCCTCACAGCAAGGAAGTTGGGACTCCAGCTCCTTCTCCGTGGAGCCGCCTCCAGGAAGGCAGGACGGGAAGAGGGGGTGACGATGCTGTGCACCCTCACCACCCCACACCCTCGGCACCCGCACCCCAGCCCCTGGGAGTCGCAGCTTCAAGACAGTGCTCCAAAACTCAGCACGTGGTGCGAGGGGCCGTCATCTCCCAGGAAGCCAGGTCCCAGTTCACGTTCAGGGGCAGCAGAAACAAGATTGCAGGAGGCGCGGGGGAGTGGCCCCAGGGCCTGCAAAGACGGGCAGAACCGTCCGCACGGTGTCTCCCCACCTTCGCTCTCCCCATTTCTTCGCTCTTAGAAATCAGAGGTGGGAAAAGAAATCAGGCAGCGGGTAAAAAAAGATGTCTGCGAGGCAATGTGGGTAGAGAGATGAGACAGTGGGGAGTCCCAGAGATAGAGGGAGCTCCTTGTCCAGGGGTGCCCTCCAAGCTGGAGAAGAATGATCAGGTGGGGACCAAGCCTGGGAAGAGGGATGTAACGACCAGGTAATGTGCAAAGAGACTTCCAAGAGGGACTCGGGGCGGGTCCTGAGCCCCCTTCATCCAGGGACACTTTACCCCGAATCCCAGATGGAGGCACTTCCCCAGCCCCAGGACCAGGTCTTTGCTTATAGGGTGTGGAGGAGGCATTGGGGCATCCCTGGGGGCTGCCTGGAGGAGGCGGGGCAAGAAGCCTTCAGGTGGAGAAGCTCGCCACACTTTCATGGTCCGCAGGCTCCTCTTTTCTCCTCCAGCTCCAGCCCCCAGTCGTCCTCTTCCTCCTTCTCCTCCTTTCTCACAGTCTCCTCTTCCTTCTCTTGGTCACTGTGGAGACAAGAAGGGCCCAGATAACCGAACTTAACAAGGACTTACAGGGCCCCGGGCCTCCTGCAATCCTCCCAGAACCTCTGGGTCCCACACCCTCGTTGTCCCCATTGTACAGAAGGGGACGCTGAGGCGCAGACAGGTGAGGACACTTGTCCAGTGTGAACAGGAAGGAAGTGCTGAAGCCCACGCTTCGGCTACACAAGCCAAAACCTGCTCTTAACGTCTGGTCTCTCGGGCTTCCGGGGCCTCAAAACTGGGGGTGAGTGGATGGGCAGAGGCGGGGGAATGGACAGGTTGATGGGGGCATAGGTTAACGAGTCGATGGGTGGACAGAGGAACAGATGGATGTGTGGACGGATGGTGGGAAGGTGGATGGATGGATGGATGATGGACAGATAGAGAGATGGATGGATGTAGAGATAGAAGGATGGATGATGGATGATGGAGAGATAGAGGGATGGATGGTGGATGGATGGATGGAGAGATAGAGGGATGATGGAGAGATAGAGGGATGGATGGAGAGATAGAGGGATGGATGATGGACAGATAGAGGGATGGAAGATGGATGGAGAGAGAGAGGGATGGAGGATGGATGATGGACAGATAGAGGGATGGATGGATGGATGGACAGATAGAGGGATGGAGGATGGATGGATAGATGGACAGAGGGATGGACAGACAGAGGAATGGATGAGAGAGGGAGACAGGAAGGGAGGGATGATGGATGGATGATGCTGGGCTGGAGGGAGGGAGGGACGGATGGGTGGAGGGGTAAATGGCTGGATGGATAAGTGGATGTGACTAGATGGATGGATAAATGGATGGGGTGGGGGGGACAAAGACTTCACAGATCCCATGTGAAACACATGTTCTCCGGGAGGAAGCCACCCTCACTTTGCAGGTAGGTAGTGAGGAGGGAAGTCAGCGAGGTTATGAGGCCCCCACCGATTCTGAATGGAAGAATGACCCACTGGCTCTGAGAGGGGTGGGGCTTAGAGGGGGAGGACCTCAGATGGGCGGGGCTCGTATGGGGGCGGGGCTTAGAGGGAGGGGCTCGGGTGGGAGTGGCTTGG